TAAAAACCGAAGAAATTAATATGATGCATTTTTAGTTAGTTTTGATTTCTTACCTGGTATTCTGGGTATGACCCGCGATGTTTTTATTATATCGCCCTTTTTCATATTTTCGGTCGCAAGTATATATTTAAGCTCATCTCCTACGCCTACAAGTGCTACCTTTGCGGTACGACAGCCATCATCGATTATCTCAAGGACCCGCTCTTCTTGTGGGGGTCCTTCAGCTGGCCCATCACGCACCCACTTCACCCAATGATATTTCTGCTTTATACCGCCGCCTATACCCTTTGCAACCACCCTACCAGTGACCGGGTCACGTCCAGCCAAGTGAGAAATTTTGAGTGGTTCTACGGTGTATTCCTTCGGGTAGTGTACTACTCGCCGAAATTGTTGGCCAGCGCCCGGCTTAGGTTTCTCTACCACTTTGCACTTGCCCCGCACCTGCGTAGCATACTTTATACAGGCAGTATTGTTGGATAGCTGATAGCGAGTAGCATTCAATGCACAATTTGCCACTAAACGCGTTAAGTTATTCATTTTTTATATAATAATATCAATAAACTAACCAATTTGCTGTATACCCAGTAGAGCTGTAAAACTATCGATGGTACTATCGATACTACCGAATGGTGCTACTTCCCTACAAAAAATGGCTGACCATATCGAAAAGAAACTATCGATTGTACGCTCGCATACATATGTACATACATACATACATATATACCATGAACGAAAGACACAAGATCACGCGGGAAGGAAAGAACGAAAAAAGTTATTTTCTAGCTGCCGAAATCTCGACGCCATCTTTGTTGTAAGAAGTAAACAATGAAGAGAACGGAGAAAACCGCGAAATTGTTGAATGCATGAATAATCATTTTTATTATACAAATTCTTCTATAAATTATGTCGTTGTGTTAAATTATTATTTACCTTATGTGTACACACGTTGTCACAGGCGAAAAAGAAGAAAATTGCAGTAAAAATCCACGACCAAATTGTAAACAATGAAGAAATGTAAACAAACGGCTATTGTCAAAATCGTTAAACTTTTTTCCTAAATGCGATTCTAACGGGCTACTCTCCTGCCCGCGTGATCTTGTATTTTTGGTTCATGCATATATACATCAAAGAAAATTTTACTTTATTGCCATGATTCAATAACTAAAGGTTGTAGCAATCGTACAAAAACAACATTTACCGCTGGTATGAACTCCTTGTGTCATCAACATCTTCTTTATGTATTCGTATTCGTATGTATATGTATACCCTGCATACCAGGATTTCATAGAACTCTGAAAGGTTTCACAATTTTTTTTAAGAGTTTTCTCTAAGAAATCGTGCAGAAATTTCTTTACTAGTTCTTGTCAACCGCTTCATATGTTTTTCTTTAAAGATTCCTAAAAGAATCGTAACAAATTTCCGATACTCTTAAAGATTTCGGTAGCATTTGTTTGCAGGGTATCTTCTTCTTCTTTTTTGGCGCTGTAACCGCCTAAGCGATTTTGGCCGAGTTCAGCAAAGCACGCCAGTCGTTTCTCCTCTGTGCCAACTGACGCCAATTGGAAACGCCAAGTGAAGCCAAGTCCTTCTCCACCTGATCTTTCCATCGCAGTGGGGGCCTCCCTCTTCCTCTGCTACCACCAGCGGGTTGAATACTTTCAGAGCTGGAGCGTCGGTGTCCATTCGAACGACATGACCAAGCCAGCGGAGCCGCTGTATTTTAATTCGCTGCACTATGTCCATATCGTTGTACAGCTCATACAGCTCATCGTTCCATCGTCTGCGGTACTGGCGGTCGCCAACGCGTAAAGGACCGTAAATCTTCCGCAAAATCTTTCTCTCAAACACCCCAAGAGCCGCCTCATCGGATGTTGTCACTGTCCATGCTTCTGCGCCATATACCAGTACGGGCGTGATGAGTGACTTATAGAGCGTGGTTTTCGTACGTCGAGAGAGGACTTTACTCCTGAATTGCCTACTCAGTCCAAAGTAGCACTTGTTGGCAAGAGTGATTCTACGTTGGATTTCATTGCTGACATTATTATCGGTGTTAATGCTGGTTCCCAAGTAAACGAAATTCTCTACTTTCTCGAAATTGTAACTGTCAACAGTGACGTGGGTGCCAAGGCGCGAATGTGCTGACTGTTTGTTTGATGACAGGAGATACTTCGTCTTGTTTGCAGGGTATATATTTACGTATATGTGTATGTATACGCGAATATCCCAGCAAGAACAGTGACGGCCACTTTCCTAGTAACGTGACCGTCACGCGTAAGTTCGGCACGTTTTGCTATCACATTCTTAATAGTGAATCAAAAATGCTCCCATAAGTTTTGTGTACGTGTGATTTTTCAAACCAAATAGTTTGCCTGCTTGCTCATATGTGAAAGATACCTCGCAAGAAAAAACAATAGATGGCACTCCAATCAAAAATTATTACATGTGTGTTAGTAACAGCATACAATTTGCGTTTGTGTTGGAGTTTCGGTCACGCTGGGTTTGCTGGGATGTAAACAAAGCAAAACGGACGATAATTTGACACAAGCGTGTTCATAAGAAGAAGCATAGCTTCTATCGATATCACCTGTAATTGATGCGCCTTGCTTTATTGCTTGCTGTGGTGCAAAATATAGATGTCGGTGAATTCAAAGAAACAATTAATAAAAATCAGTGTATTCAATTTGTTTGTGGATGGAGAAGAAAACATTTGAGGCCAGTGCGCTTAGGCCGACTGTGGAGTGAGTGACTACAGTGCTGAAATACAATGCAACGCCAACGTGGGACTCCAGCCCTAGGAATGGAGGAAAAAGGACCAAACGGCGCTGAGGAATTTGTTTTTAGCGACGAAAATTCAGTACCGATGAAAAATTATAAGAATTGTCTGAGCTCAGTAGCCCTAAAAAAGCTTGCGTCAATATATTTTTACAAATAAAACAAACACATAAACAAAATCGAATTGCATTTTTTAATTTGGTTTTATGTATTTTTTGATATTTCGCTGCCATCTATTCAGTATTTTATCAATTATTTAGAAGTTAGAATAGTGGTCATAAAAATCACTAATTATCGTGATATTTTCCCAATAGTTTCATCGCTAAACTCACTTGTACATCACCAACTAGATGACATGTATGAGCGAGTGAACATACTGTAAGGCAAATGCACCCATGTGTGTGCAAGAAAGAGATGACCTATCACACGCCCGGAGAAGTGGTCACTTTTTTCCCCAAGCCCATACAAAACTAACCGCTAAACTGACGAAAAGTTTTAGTCAGTTTTCCCAATAATTTAACCGATAATCATAGGTCAGGCTTCTTGCAGGGTCGCGAATTCCTGAAATAAAGTTATGGATGAATCGATACAAGTAAATCCAAGTACATACTCGATAATTTTCTCAATTTACCAAGTAGTTTTTTACTCGATACTTTTTACTGCGATCCAAGTAGGTATCGAAAAAAAAAAATACTTGCATCGCAAAACTTATTATGATTCAGTATCTTTTTTGAAAAGCAACCCATTAGAGGAATGGGAAGATATGCGCACTACATTTCCGCAGCTATATAAGTACGCCCGTCCATACATAACGGTTGTTGGGTCATCTGTCCCTTGCTATCGGCTTTTCTAAAAACAGGTACAACTATCAGACATGTTCTAAAATTCGAAAATTTGAAATCGACTCGATATCGATAATTTTCTTGATGGTTTTAACCCAAAAAATTACAAGTCTCGCATTAAAATGATTTATTTCATATCGCTGCTGCTTCTTTTGCGGGTTTCAGTTAGAATATTCACTGTTTTTATCAGATATATGTAATTAAAAAATATTTGGCGAGTTCAAAGTTTCGAATTTCAGAACATGCCCGTATATCAAAATCTCGCCTTTCAGGAAAACAGTTGGAAAAGTAGATTTTTTTGGGGAAATATAACAAAAAAGGAGTTATTTTCTCAAACTTATTTTATATGAAAAAACTTTATCTATTAATCTTGAAAAACATTCATATTATTTGTGAAAAAAAATTCAATAACTTTGAAAATTTGCAAAATCGTAGTTCTATGTACAAGAACTCGATACCTTTCCGATACTGAGTAGGTATCGGTACCTTGTTTGATAGAAGTACCAGTACTGATTTGAGTAATACCTTGATGGTATCGATTTATCCCTAAATAAAGTGCCTTGAAAAAGTGGCAATGCTCTGGCAAGAAACTAATAAGTAGGGTGTGGCCTCCTTTTGAATTGCAAAAGTCGTTGGTACCAGGCAATGAACTAAATTGGTTATAATATATTTTCAGTTTCTTCTATTTGAATATATTGTATATTTCAACGATTCCACACAACTTTTCCAGTGTTTTAAATCCTGGTTATGCCACTCAAGCTTTTTAATCTAAAAACATCATAACCCTAGTAAACAGCTGTTTGTGAAACGTGGCGTTGCCGGACTTGCACTTCTCGATTTCATGAAATTCACGCTCCCGCTCGCATTGAACTGTATAGCGGGCTTACCGGCCGTCTTCACGTGCTGGAAAATCTCGCTTGCGGGACGACGCATGCGAGAAACCGCACGTGTAGACCGCAAAAAGTACGAAGCATGTTTTTTCTCGCTTGCTTTCAACTGTGATTTTTGTTGTTTGACAGCTATGTTCTCATTTCGCAGAATTCTTCAGAGTTGCAACATCGTTTATTTTGGAGGCAAATACAAATTTAGAGGCAGCCATTTTTCATTTGAAAATGGTATACATCTCTTTATGCAGATTTTCTAATTTTCTCAAACTTTTAAGAGCCTGCAAGGCTTGAACCTTCTTGTTTGGCGACATTTTACTAATGAAAAAGTATGCTGTCAAATGCCCAGTCAACAAAACTCTATCTCGCTTGCGAGATAAAAAAGCAGAACGCAAGCGAGATTTTCAAGCATATGAAGACGGCCGGTTAAATTTACGAGGGGCTCGTAAATAAAGCTCCATACAAATTTTGACAGTTCTTTTACGAGGCTCGTAAATTTACGAGCTTTTTTATAAGTTTAAGGGAAGACCCCTACTGTAATTTCAACGTTTTATTTAATAATCTAGTGTATGTGAAGAATAAACGTAACAGTATATGACTTCATTACCTTAATTGAAAGCTCCTAATCTTAAGTTCTAATTTTTAAATGCAGTCATTATTTTGGCTAAAAATTCTTGAACCTCTGCATTTTGCATCAAGGAACGCTTTTTGCCGCTCAACACCATACCTAAAATATCGGGACACTTCTCCTTATCTCGTGAATACATATCTCGACCATCCACTTCATCACCGCCGCCAGCGCTGCCTTCTTCAACGCCGGGCGATAAACATAACGCACCGGCGTTGCCACTCGGCCCGGCAGCAGTACCAGTACAAAAAAATGTTCCCTGCTGCTTATGACGTTTGTTTTTGCGACCTTTTCCGCCATCTTCAATTATTTGCGTTTGTGTTTGTATTTTGGTGGTGTTTTTGTCCACACGCTTTTGATAGGGTCTTCGTGTTTTGACTGGTTCTTTCTGTTGTTGTTTCTCTTTCCTTTTCGATGTTGATGTCGAGGCAGTGACGTCGTTTTCGGTCAAATTCACGTTTACATTCGCTGATTTCGGCGATTGTTGGGGCGCTGTAATAGCGACAGTTTCTCGTGCTATATTCCCAGAAGGGTGAGTAATTATTTGTAATTGCTGCTGCGTTTGTGCCTGCGGTTCCTGTTCTTGTTGGAGTCGACGTTTCACGTGTAAATTCAGGCGCTCCTTAATAAGCCGATGCGGTTGTACTTCCGTTTCCGGTAATTGGGGTCCTTCTGTCTTTACAATTTGTAAATTTTCCGGTAACTCAGCCATTATGCCCTCTTTTAGTAGCTGCGAAGTTATTCCACTTTTCTTTCTGTCCAATTTAACAATCTGAATAAATAAGCAGAATTGGCAATGCTGTAGGAAGTAACCCACCAAGCAAAAGTGCTGGGCAATGTTTACTTGAAGTTTTACACGATATGTATTTCAAACTGTAAATGTGACTTTCGATACACATGTAATTGCATCTGTCTGTCAAATTCACAGTATTTAATTAACTATTTAAAATAACGTCCTTTGAGATCGAAATAAACCAAACACAAATAATTCTATCTGTATGTCCGATGAAAATATAAACATTTCTATTCGTATGTACGTGGATCTACAAACTAATCTAATTTGCCTTTACACGATATGTTGGCACTTCCATGTACACATGCAAATACATATCGTGCAAAAAAAACGTATATGGTATATGTATTTGTATGTACTCTTAAATTAATGAGTTTAAAGTGTGAGTGCGAAAATAAAGAGTTAAAGTTTAATTTTACTTTTGCGATACGTAAGTTTTCAACGGTTCATTCTTAAGGACTTTGTATTCCTTTCTTGCATTTTAAAGATATGTACACACATATAGCCACATATAACACACCTCATCGTAAAACTAAATAGAAGGTACACAACATGCGTTCGCCGGCAAATTCGTCAACTAAATTGTTTACGTGTATTTGTATGACGGCTATTACAAACGAAGGCGTTACGAGCATGGCGCAATAAACAGATGAAGTAATAAAACAGCTTTCTTTCTTTATTTTCTGACACTCGGCTTCCTAATAGTCAAATTTTATAGGCAAATTTTCAAATAAGGCAGTGTCAAAAACTTTCTGGCTCTAATTATTTCACCTGATATAATTCCACCGCGGTTACGAATGCGCTAACGCAGTTGCTATCGAAATTAAACCGACACGCTACTTTCTGTTGCGTTTATCAATTGACACTTGAAATTTTTGAAATTGCAAACACAAAATAAACATTGTCACCATTAAAGAGCTTAAAATAAATTTGCGGCATAGTATAGTCAGCCTTTGAGTTTTGTCATTAGCGTGGGAATACGGATGTTAAGTGAACTACTAGAAATGATGCTAGAAATAAGAGCGTGAAATAATTTCTTGTTGATTTTTACACAATCTTATTTGAAAATGTTCCTTAACAAATTTGCATAAGATAGCCGAATGACAGAACATAAAGCGAGAAAGCTGTTTTATTACTTCACCTGTTTATTGCGCCATGGTAAGAAAGTATGTACCTTGGAAATTATGGAATGCATTTCTATAGCTTAAAACACTTACCCTCAATTGAAACTAAAATGCGCGTTGGGTAATTGCTATTCATCGCCTCCACCACCCTTCCCCGCATGACACTTTGCGCATATATTTACAAACTCGCGCTCGTTATGCTGCGTGCACTGGTATTTGTATTTATTCTAGTTAACTCTTCCCCCCAACAACGAGCTGATCCCTTCCGCTCTATAAAAGTTCTGCAGATGTCATTTGCGTGTGTATTCGGCGCAGTACTACCAACTGTCAGATATATAACACACCCTGTGTTGCCGTCTTCTCGTTGGTAGAAGAAACGTGTTTTGTGCAGAATTTTCAGTTCTTCATTTTCGATTTCGGTTCAGAATTTTGTTTGTAAACACGCGTGTGGCGAAATAAAATTAGCCAAATATAGTTGAAAAAATTGCTTTCGTGGTAAGTATAGAGTATTTATCCATTTTGGGTTTGTTAAATTTCAGTAAAGTTATTGGGGCTACCGCGCTGTTGCTCCCCAACATTGAAGCGGCTTTTCTTTTTCCAATGGCGATACATGTGTGTGTTTTTGCCTTTGCTTCGTTTTGTGTTTTTTCATAGTTGGTGTTTTTCTCGATTATTTTTCTCGTTCGCAGTTTTGCCCTGCACAACACATCGTACAACAACATCGGCAGGGAAAACAACAACATCCGTAACAAAAACAAAAACCACAAAAACAACATAGCACTCAACCATTAGCCAACGGAGCCAGAGCCGTGTAGCCATAACCATAGCCGCCAGCCAACGAACGGCAGAGCCAAAAAATAAAGTGGAATAAATAGAGAAGGGGAGGTGAACTGCAAA